TTGATGATCTTTCTCTAATGGGTTTTGGTCCTTTTGGTGATTTAGAAATACCATCTTCACGATCTTGGACTAACATTGAAACCCCACAACCTCAATTTTACACACACACAAGAGTAAAAATGAGAGCTTTATGTTCTTTTTGAGTTCTTGAACTCAAGTGTTAAAGATTCTTCAATCTAGCATTTGACTTGAACTGAAAATACTGAAAAGTTTGTGTTTTTGAGTATTTTGCCGACAAGGGATGGGAGGGGTGGGGGTGTGGGGGTAGGGTGGGGGGTTCCTTTAGCTTGAAGGTTAACTTCAGTTGGGGTAGTTTGGTGAGAGGTGCACTTTTGGACTCTACCATTTCTACTTTTTTTGTTAATAATGTTTGTTGATTTGGAGATTGGGTGGCCAATAACTCAAGAATAGACAAATCAACTAACTTAAATGAGATGATGATAAAACGATTTGGTGTAGCGGATAAAGTTGTTCTCTTTTGATCAGAAGTTTTGATTTCGAATGATAGAGATAAAATAATAATATTGAACATAAAAAAAATTTTCTTAAATAAACTCTATACGATAAGAAACTTAATTAGTCGTGTTTTACTTGAATCATTGGTGTAATTAGAAATTTTATCAAGGTGGCAAAGGTTTAGTATATATATGTGTGTTAGTAGAAAGGTAGAAACCTAAAAAAAAAATTAAAAAAAGAAAGGTAGAACCTACTATCAAATGAAAGAGCATCATGAGAATTTGTAATATATAAAGAACTTTTTGTTAAGAAAATTTTGTAAATTTTGAATTTTCAACTTTATGATTTGTTTACTATTATTTTTAATAAAAAAAATGTATTGTAAAAATTGATTATTTATTTTTACATAATTTCTGAAAGCTATTTATTAGGAAATTCTTAGATCAGAAAAAGAAGAGTTAAAACATTTCCTTATTTGATAAAGAATTAAAAATAGACAGCTTTCTTTAGTTTGAGTAAAAGTAATGTGCAAAAAATCAAAATGGGAATTGAACCCCCCAACCAATAACACAAGCCATGCAACATTTAGGCCATGCCTCTCAGATATATTAAGGTGTCCAAATCAAAGGAAATATTCACTTTAAACAGGGTTTGAGCTACTATATATACGATATAATTTTTCGACGAAGGGTGTTAATTGAACATTTTGGAGATATTGTAGCTCTGTCACTAACTCGAACGATTAATGAAAATGATTTGGTGCAACATATAGGACTGCTTCTTTCTTAATCTATAAAAATTTGATTTCAAGCGTTGAAAATGAAATAATACTTGACAAAAAAAGTTTCTCTTGAATGAACCTTACGCGACAAGAATTAAAATTAGTCAAACTTCACTAGAACACATAATTAAAATGATTCGGTGTAGCGATAAATTTGTGTCTTTCTTAATCAAAAGTTTGATTTTCGAGTGTTGGAGATGAAATAATACTTGACAGAAAGAATTTCTGCTAATGAACCCCTACGTGATAAAAATTTTAATTAATAAGTTCACTCAAACACCGAATGTAAATGATTTCCGGGATAGAATTGCTTCTTTCATAATGAAAAGTTTGATTTCGAGTGTTGGGGGATAAAAAATGCTTGAAAGGAAGAGTCTATCCTAAATGAACCCTACATGACAAAAATCTTGAACTTCACTCGAACACTAAATAAAATAATTTGGTGCAACTGATAGAACTGCTTCCTTCATAATCAAAAGTTTTGATTTCGAGTGTTGGAGATGAAATAATACTTCACTGGAAGAGCTTTCTTGAATGAACCCTACGCGATAAGAATTTTAGTTAGTCAAACATCACTCCAACAATAAATAAAAATGATCCGGTGCAGCTAATAGAATTGCTTCTTTCTTAATTAGAAATTTTAATATCGAGTGTTGGAGATGAATAATACTTGGCAGGAAGAGTTTCTCCTAATTGAACCCAATAATACTTGGCATCAAAAGTTTCTCCTAAATGAACTCTACGCAACAAGAATCTTAATTAGTCGAACATCACTCAAACACTAAATAAAAATGATTTAGTGCATCAGATGAAATTGCTTACCTCTTAATCGAAAGTTTTAATTTCGAATATTGAAGATTAAATAATACTTGATAGAAAAAATTTCTCCTGAATGAACCTATGTAACAAAAATCTTAATTAATCAAACTTCACTTCAACACTAAATGAAAAACTAACTCAAAAGATATTTAGGAAAAGAAAGAAAAAATCAACTCAATGGATGAAAACATAAAAGTCAAGAAAAAGAGAGGCAAAAGAGAACATAACTTTAGGTGTAAGTTATTTATTAGAAAAATTAAGGTTAATATTGGAAGGTTTTAACATAAATTTTCAAAGAATTTTAAATTACGTAAAAGAAAATGAACCATCTATAATAAAAAAGATATATGACTTATTTTGTACGAGAATCTAAAATTGTTCAGGTCTTAATAAGAAGTTAATTAGGGATTTTATAAGTGATAGTGTAGAATTAAAGAAGAGATTGAACAAACTTTTTAAAAAATGTGACCAAAGTTTTAAACACTTTAGATCAAAACTGATACATTACTCTTGTAAACTAATTACTTTTACCTATAACGTGAATAGTGTTTATATGAAATGTAAATTGCTCGAATTGATAGAGTTAAAAAAAGAATGTAAAAATGATCGATGGATCCTTATTTACTTGAGAGCATTTCATTTGATTCTACCTTATTTCATATGCGTGCAACTACGAACTTAAGTTGAAGCGCTTTTTTATAACTTTGAGTAATCAACTATATGCCAACTTTATACCCAAATTGTCTCAATTTCGACAATCACTCCTACTTTTTTAGACCTATGATTTTGATTTAAAACTTCTATTCCGAATTACATTTTGAGGCAGCTAAACTTTAAAAAAATTGTAACCTTGCCTATTTTTTAAATAAAATAAATAGTGCTATTTGTGCAAGCAAAAAATTGGGTTCTATAATAGGTCCAATGTGATGCAAGCAAAATTTGGGTCATTTGCATTTTTGTCCCATGTTTTGGGATGGTCTTTACTTTTTGTTTACAAATACCTTTTTTGTGAGCTATGAGTATATATCATCGCATCATAATATCCGTGAGACATATCTAAACATGACTTTAGTTTTTAAAGAATCGAAAAAAGATTCAAATATGTCAACGAATTTTTAGAAAAGACTCATCTATGTCATCCATTAAAAGTTTAACTCATCTGCGCAGTTTTGATTGTTAAAAAACTCATCCATGTCATTATCTATTAACTAAAAAAAGTTTTGCTTTTGCAATTGTTTTTTTACATGTGGTCAACTATGATTCGGCCATATAATTAATTAAATCATTTCTTTAAAAAAATGGTCAAATATGTTATCAAGCTTTTGAGAAAAGGTTGGTCTATGTCATCCTTTAACATTTTGGTTCATCTACGCCATTTGAGTTGACAAATAATGACATGAATGAGTCTTTTCTTAAAAGAAAAATGAAATAGATAAGTCAAACTTTTAACGTATGATGTAAGTTAGCCTTTTCTCAAAATTTGATGACATATTCGTGCCTTTTTCCCAAATGAATTTATGCCCCCGCTAGGTATACGTTCAACTAAATAAGAGTAACAAAAATCAAAGACCGATCCATTTAAAGGACAAAAATTAAAAGACCAACACATTTTAAGGGTAAAACGTTAATACATTCATCCCCTTCGTACTTCGACCACCCTACCCATTCATGCACTAACAAGTAGAAGCTTGTTTATGTGATTCGTTGCACTTGCCTGCACCTATCGGCTAATTCTATTGCCTATAAATTAATGAAACTTTTTCGATAGTACAAATTACTATGCTTCGCCTTTTTCTATATATGATAATATACATCTTGATTGTTGCGGTCTATACAAAGTAATAGCAAGAGAGTGGGCCAAATATTGGGCCGAACCCCAAAGAAGAATACTGGATCTTATATAAAGCCCATTTCGTAGTCCTTTATCAGCTAGTAAATGACTTTAACGCGCCATTTTTCAAATTTTGCATAGAGAAGCAAAAATAACGTTGAAGAAGTTTAACAATGGAAGATGAAGAAGAAGCATTTCCTAATGAAGATGAACTTCATGTTGCTTCTGCTCTTCTCCTTTTATCAAATGCACCTTCTCCATTACCGAAGTATAACGAAATTCAAAAATTTCTATCGAATTTCACTTACTGAATATGTTGCTATTATGCCATTTTTTTTTTTGATGAATCGAAGTTTCTAACGAATTTGAGTAACTGGAATTGTTGCTATTATGAGTTTTTTGCATGTTTGTTTTATGAAATTTGAAATTCATATCGAATTTGAGTAATTGAAACTGTTGCCGTTATGAGTTTTTTTGGGGTAATTTTGCAGAGTGAAGAGCATATCTGAGATTTCACAGATAGCGGCATTGAGTTATACGTCTTCGGTATCGGATTCGAAGTCGAAATCGGCTGATTCTTCAAATGTAACAGCTGATGATGATGATGATACACATTCTTCATCTCAAATGTATAGCGAAATTCAAAATTTCTTTCGAATTTAAGTTATTGAAATTGTTGCTAGTACGAATTTGTTTTGCGTGTTTTTTGTGCTTTTATTTATTGTTGGTAATTTTGCAGAGTGAAGAGCATATCTGAGACTTCACAAATAGCTGCAATGAGTTACGCGACGTCCGTATCGGATTCGAAATTCAAATCGACTGATTCTTCAACTATAACAGCTGATGATTACGACGATGAGGATGCTGATTGTGATGATGATGCCTCGTTTGCTGAGGCTAAAGCGAATGCTCGTCGGATTAAGATGATTCGGATGATTCGTGTCATTAATAAGCTCAAGGTGATCAGTTTTACTGTTAAAGTATTGCACGAAAATGAACGCGATCTAGATTTTTAGATTGTTATTCTAGTTTGATTTTATTGAATTATCAGTTTATTCGATCTGTTGTGAAGCTGCTTCTTCAGTGCTTCGTATTGGATTAATTTTTGAATTTTCATAGTTACACTGCTCTGTTTTCTCAGTGTTATGAATTGCAGAATCGATGATTTAGAACGAATAAGTTTTTCTCTAGCTTTGATTGATTTTTAGATGCTTTGAGCTTTTGAATTTTCGTTCATTTAAATCTCCAAAGTTCCGGTACTCTGTTTTCTCTATTCTTCGATTAGAAAATTGATTCAACATGCTCTGTTTAAATGTCTCTGGTTGATTTTCTGAATTAAACATGCACAAAAAATTGTAGGCGGTGCGAAGGAGACGATCCAAGAGCTTATGCATTTCTGATTGCCTGAAAATCAGCTCCGGCAAGCCGAAACCGGCGTTTTCTCTGGCTACCTCTTGCACATCAGCTTCGTCGTGCGTGTCCAATGATTCTACTGCCGCCGGCGACATCTCAAGCGGCGGAAGCTGTGAGGCAGTACTAAAGGAAAGAGAGTGTGTTCCAAGGAAGATGAAGGTGATTTTCTCAGCTCACATGCGGCGTCGAGCTGAAGCCATATTGAAGGTGTTGTCTTCTCATGGTTGTGCTTCTGAAGTTAGGATTCGTCAACTGCTTGGTGATAGCCCTGATACCAGCAAAGCCTTGAGAATGTCAGTCTCTCTCTCTCTCCCCGTAGATCTCGGACCTATGGATGGGGATATTTCGGAGGACCCAAATAATCATCAAATCTATTTCTATCTCAAGAAACACTATTAGAAAATTACTAAAACGAAACGATTCGCTCTCTCACACACACAGAACACATAATTATGGTGTACAAAAATCATCAATGCATAGTGTGGCTGATTGTTGGTTATTTCAGATTGTTGAGGCTAGAAGAAGTGAAGAGGACAGGGGCTGGAGGTCGCACAGATCCCTATGTTTATGTGGTAAGTTAAATTTCGAAATTTGAAAAGTGTCACATGAATTGAGACGAAAGGAGTAATTAATAGTCATTTGTTTGAAGTAATACGTATCAATCTGATTTACTAGTTTACACTTTCTAACTTTGACCATCCTTTTTGTTTAATGCTTTTCAACCTTTTGTTTGCTGCAGATAAGTTGACAAGTTAGATAACATCAAAACAAAAGTGGATCAAGTTTGTAGATTTGGAAAATAAATTACCCAAGAGAGCCTGAATATATATATTTTTTTATATAAATAAATGAAACAAAATTATAATTCCAAAGTTTAGTAGGTAGATTAGAGAATCCTAAGTCAACAGAAATGGTGAATTACTTGGTGTTCAGACGATTCACTAGAAAATTGACTATATTACAGTAATTACTATGCTTCTTCGTTATTATGGTTCAAAATGAAATGTAATAAAAATTTTATGGTAGAATTTTGAATTGAACTAATAATGTTTTAATTTTTGACCTGTCTATTACAGCTTACAATATTATTTAGAGACTGTTGACTACTATTTTTCATATCACAACGAACACAAGTAGTTATTTAAGATGCTCGATCAAGCTTGTTAAGAGCGTGAATTAGAGATAACTAATCCAAGGTTTAACAATTCTTGGATAAGACCTCTAAATGACTAAACTATCCGCAATTCTTTTTTTAAATTTAATGTTTTTTTTAAAATTTATATACATTCTTTTAAATTTTCAAAATTCTTTCCATGTAATTTGATGATTTCACAAATTAATATTTTTTTCTCCATGTTTGATTTGTTCTATTGGGTTGTTTTTTTTTTTTTTTTTAAATGTAGTTAGTCGATTGACTGCTTGTACTATTTTTTTTTTAAAAAAAAATGCATATTTAAACAATTTAAGTAGCCTTAAATTTATGTTAACTTTAAGGTATATTTGACCAACAAAAAGAATTAGAAATATATTGTGCTATCAAGAATCTCTATAGTAGCATATTACACCTCAAAATTAATAACTTGACAAATTAAATAAAATATAGAATCTCATAATAACTAAGGATAAAATAGGAAATAAACTTTTACTAGAATCTTAAACCAAATCAAACACTTGATAAAAACTAATACATACACTATTAATCCCTGCACTGATAATCGCTGCATTATGCATCTTTCTACCAAACAACACCTTAATGATCAATAAATTGAGTGTGATATGAAATCTAAGGTTCAAATGCAAGTATTGGTAATATCGAGATTGATTAGGATTATGCAAATATATATATATATATATATATATTTATGTCGCACCTCTCTATGGTCAACATTTACATGATCATTTAACTCTCTTTTTTTAAAGCTTTAAATTTATTTATAATTTTTTTTAATTTTAGAAAAACTGAATACATTTAAATGAATTACACAATTAATCATGTTCTTTATAACTTCCTTCACACTAAATACATTTAAGTAAATAGATCATGAAAAAGATCAAAAACTTTTCATTTTTCATAACTGCTTATTTTATTTAGCCTATAAAAAAATAAATTTGAGTATTTCTAACCAATAATAATGAACTACTCCTCTTTTCTTCCTTTCTTCTTTTCTTATAATGATAAAGAAGAATATACGGATACACAAACAAGGAACTCCTCCTCTTTTCATTGACAAAAGAGAAAAAAATAAGTACATCATGATGCTTCCGAAAATATTGGTAGGAGAAATGTCGTATTGGCATGAAAAAAGATTGATTTGATATATCAAATTTTTAGGCTTTTGAATTTCTTCAACAAAAGAGTTCTTCTTTTATTTTGTCTCGATTTTTTTCTGTGTGTTTAATCAAAGTTATTATATATATACACACACATGTGATATTCTAATTATTTTTTATAGTTTTTTTTTTGCATTTTTAGTAATTTAAAAGAAATAATGATCATATCTAAATCGTTTCATCATCTATTAATTTCTTTTACTTCTCTTAATTTCATAATTTATATTATTTACTATATCATTTTCTTAAAAAAAATTATTTGTTTATTTAAAGAAATAAGTTATTTATATTCAATGAGTAGTAGCTAAAATAAAAATGCAACGTTTCACTTATGAAGCATTGATACTTATTCATTTTCCATCAATTATTTTGACATCTTTCTTATATTTTTATTAAAATAATTACTCAAAAATCAAGGTAATCTTCCAAAAAAAAGTATGCATCAATATTTATTTTATTTTTGGCCCTTTTACTAATTTTAAAAGACTGGAAAATTTTATAAAATAAAAAAATACCATATTTAAGTGCTATTAATTTCTTTTACTTCATTTCGTTAATCTCATCATTAATATTATTTATATTATCTCCAAATCACTTCTTCTCCTTTCTTTGTTTACTTTATATATATATATATATATAATGTGATGACATCATTCTTAGTCTAGAATTTGTTATTTATTTATTTATGTCAATTATTTTGACATTTTAAGTACATTTTTATTAAAATAATTGCACAAAAAATGAAGTTACTCTTCCAAAAGTAATTATATGTCGATATTCATTCTATTTAATAACATTTTTCCTAATTTTAAAAGATTGAACAACTAAAAAAATGATTGATTCATATATACATAGTTTGGTAGCATAGTTTGGTAGTAAAAGATATAAATTAGTTAATTTTTGTCTTTTCATCTCCTATCTTTTAATATAGAGAAAAAGATCAAATATGCCCCTAAACTATTCGAAAAGGTCTAGATATACCCTCCGTTTAAAGTTTGGTTCACTTATGCCCTCGCCGTCCAACTTTTGGTCCAAATATGCCCTTTTGAGCGTTAGTTGCCATGCTGGACATATCCAACTCATTTTTCATTTTTCTAAATGCCACATGGAATTATGATGTCATTTTGGCCTTACCACATAACATTTGTATGAAAATGAAAAGATATTCGGACTCATAAACACCTAATCCGACCCAAAAATTAGTAATTGATTAATAAAAAATATGAAGAAATATAAAATTCACAAATTAATATAGTAACCTTAAATCTAACATTTTAATTTTTTTTTTATTTTTCGATAAATCTCGAAAATGAGTAATTGATTAATAAAAAATATGAAAAGTATGAAAAAAAATATAAATTAACGCCAAAAGTTCACAAATAAATACAGTAACATTTCAATCTACAATTTTTTTTAAAATTTTAATATTTTTTGGCAAATCCCGAAAATAAGTAATTTTTTATAAAAAGGGAAAAATATGAAGAAAAAAAATATACGCCAAAACTCACAAATAAATATAGTAAACTTAAATTCAATAATTTCAACAATTTTTTTATTTTATATTTTTTTTCATATTTTTTGATATTTTTTATTTCTGAATTTTTTGCGTAATTTTATATTTTTTGTTAATAAACTCATTTTTGGAATTTGTCGAAAAAATTAAAAATTTAAAAAATGTTGAAATTGTTGAATGTAAGGTTACTATATTTATTTTTTAATTTTTTGGCGTTAATTTTATATTTTTCATACTTTTTATTAATCAATTACTCATTTCAGGATTTATCGAAAAAAATAAAAAAATTTAAAAAAAGTGTTTAAATTGAATTTAAGATTACTATAATTATTTATGAATTTTTGGCGTTAATTTTATACTTTTTTCATATTTTGCTATTTTTTTTATTAATCAATTACTCATTTTCGAAATTTATCGAAAAAATAAAAATTAAATAAAATTGTTGAAAATTGGTCGGATAATTTATTTAAAAGGGGGTTGGATTAGATGTTTATGAGTCCGAATATCTTTCCATTTTCATATAAATGTTATGTGGTAAGGCCAATGACATGGCAAATCCATGTGGCATTTAAAGAAATAAAAAATGAGTTGGATATGTCCAACATGGCAACTAACGCCCATAAGTGCATATTTGGACCAAAAGTTGGACGGCGAGGGCAATCAGTGAACCAAACTTTAAATGGAGGATATATCTAAACCTTTTTGAATAGTTTAAGGGCATATTTGACCCTTTTCCCTTTAATATATTATTACTCTACATTAATAAAAATAATTAAGAATTAAAAAAATTGAAGGGGGATGAATACATGCATATACATTAAACCTATAACAAAGAAGACAATTGTAGTGGGAGGTGAAAAGTCGATTGAGTTGAATAAATATTTTTTTCTAATTTTTAAAAATAAAGTAAGCAAATAATAAACAATGATATTTATTAGTAAACAATGATATTAATAAATATGAAAGATTAGATAATGATAGAGTATTTTATTAATATTATTAAAAAACTGTCATTTATAAATGTAGAGGAGTGAGTCATAAAAATGATTTTTTTTAAAAAAATAAATTAATTTGTAAAAAAAAAGAGATAAATATAACTTTGTTTATATCTTATTTTTATTTATTTTTGTATATATAATAGCATTTATATTAGTTTAAGAGTTTTTAAAATAATTGATTTTGAAAAAATAGAAAAAAATTGAAACAAAAAAAAAGAGAAAAAAGAGATTAATATGACTTGGCCTATATTCGATTTTATTTATTTATGCATATATAAATAACAATTGCGTTTGTTATAGTTTAATTACAATTATATTTATAAATGTCTTTAAAATTAAATAAAGAAGTTAAAAGAAAGAATATTGGAAAGATATAATTAGTATAATATTAATGAGGAAAGAGAAAATATAAGTGTGTAGGTATTTTCTGAAAATTTGAAATTGGTAAGAAAAAAAACATAAAATGAAGAAGGAAAATGAGGCAATTAAAAGCACAATTATTTTGGTAAGAAAAAAGTAGTGGAAAATAAAGAAGTAGATGAATGAATCTTAGGAAGATACAAATAGTGTAGTATTAATGAAGAAAAAGAAAATTTAAATTTGTATATATATATTTATTTATTTTTAAAAGAACAAATTATGGAAAAATACTGACAAAATAAATAAATGACAATTCTGGCCAAAGAGAGCTGTCATGTCAGATTTATAGTGTTATCGACCTTTTATCTCAATGATGACCCTTTTTAAATTTATTTGAAAAATAAAATTTATTGATAAATATTATAGTTACAAAGTTGTTTATTCTTTGATTTTAGATCTTCTTAATTTTTTTATGAATATTCTATTCAAATTAAAGTATTTTTTAAGAAAAAAATGCAAGTTCAAAAGCATTAAAAATAACTAACACTAACTTGAAAGACAATATTTGAGAAATTGCAACAACTAAAGCAATTGCAGGAGCTTCATAGACATGTCCAGTTTTCGTAACATGATGAGACAAAATAGAGAGAACTATAATAATACTTGATATTGAACACATAAGAGTAAAAGTGAAACATATATATTATGTAAGCAACGTAGCGCACACTTAAGTCCATGTTTTTGAAATTTGATGGGAAAAAATGGTTCATTCGATAAACAACGATGATTTAGCAGAAACAGAGATCATGTCTGGCTAATAATATGTGGTAAAATAGATCAATCATAAGTTCTAGATATGTTGATTAAGAAAAAAACAAACAACTAACAATAGAGTGAAAAACAATGTAAGTTGGCTTATCAAAAAATAAAATTACAGAAAGAAAGTGTTTCACTTTATTTGATAGCAAATTTCATTTTTGTACAATTTATGAGTAAATAATATGTGGATACTAAAATCTTCTATCATTCAACTCATTTTTATTCACATGACAAGTCAAATATTTAGTCATTCGCATCTAACTCATTTTCAACTCACTCATATGCGATCTAATCCCCTGTTAGCTAGCCAACACAAGTCATGTCACATGAATAACACCATAGTTACTTAGGGAGAAGTTGACAATGTTTGTTTAGAAGGTTTTGGTAAATTTATTTTTAATACACTTGGAATCTCAAGATCTGAAATAACGGGTGAATCAGGCTTTGTAAACGTCGGAATCTCCGATTTTGAGGTAGTTGGTAGCTCACGGTTTGGTTCACTTGATATTTCAAGCCTGATAACACTTGGAGTCTCAAATTCTGGGGCTGCTGGAATATCAAGCTTTGAAGAATTAGATGTTTCAGGTTTTAATAAACTAGGTATCTCTGACTTTGAGAAAATTGGAGTCTCAAAATTTGGAAAACTTGGGGTCTCATGCTTCGGCAAACTTGGTTTCTCGGACTTTGGGGAACTTGCAGTGTCGGGCTTTTGGGAATTAGGAGTTTCGGGTTTTGAAAAACTTGGAGTCTCGAAACTTGAGGTGTCAGGCTTTGGGGAGCTTGGCATCTCGGGCTTTGCGGAACTTGCGGTCTCGGGCTTTAGGGAACTTGGGGTCTCGGGCTTTGGGGAGCTTGGCATCTCTGGCTTTACGGAACTTGACATCTTGGGATTTGGGGAGCTTGGCGTCTTGGCCTCTGGGAAACTTGGCGTTTCAGCCTTTGCGAAACTTGGAGTCTCGGGTTTTGGGGAGCTTGACTTCTCGGGCTTTGTAGAACTTGGAATCTCGAGCTTTGGGGAGCTTGGCATCTTGGGCTTTGAGAAGCTTGGTGTCTCGGGCTTTGGGGAGCTTGGCAATTCCGACTTTGGAGAACTTGGTGTATCGGGCTTTGAGAAACTAGGTGTTTCAGACTTAGGATAACTTGGGGTCTCAGGCTTCGGGGAACTTGGAGTCTCGGGCTTTGAAAAACTAGGAGTTTCAGGCTTTAGAAAACTGGAGGCACTTAGAGAACTTGAAGTCTTAGGTTTTGAGAAACTAGGAGCATCGGGCTTTGAGAAACTTGGCATCTTGGGCGTTGGGGTGCTTGGTTCCTCAGGCTTCGAGGAACTTGGAGTATCAGGTTTTGAGAAACTAGGAGTCTTAGGCTTTGAAAAGCTAAGTGTTTCAGGCTTTGAGAAACTAAGGGTCTCAGGCTTTAGGGAATTTGATGTCTTAGGGCTTGGAGAACTTGGCATTTCAGAATCTGTGAAAGTAGGGGTCTTAGGCTTCGGGGAACTTGGAGTCTCGGGTTTTGGAAAACTAGGAATTTCGGGCTTCGAGAAACTAGGGGTCTCAGACTTCGGGGAACTTGGAGTCTCGGGCTTTGAAAAAATAGGAATTTCATGCTTTAGGGAACTAGAGGCACTTGGAGAACTTGAAGTCTTAGGTTTTGAGAAACTTGGCATCTTGGGCGTTGAGGTACTTGGTTCCTCAGGCTTCGAGGAACTTGGAGTATCAGGTTTCGAGAAACTAGGAGTCTCAGGCTTCGAAAAGCTAGGTATTTCATGCTTTGAGAAACTAGGGGTCTCAGACTTTGGTGAATTTGGTGTCTTGGGGCTTAGAGAACTTGGCATTTCAGGTTCTGCGAAAGTAGAGGTCTCAGATTTTGGGGAACTCGGAGTCTCGGCTTTTGAAAAATTGGGAGTCTCAAATTTTGGGGAACTTGACGTCGCAGACTTTGAAAAACTAGGAGTCTCGAGCTTTGGGAAGCTTGGGGTCTCGGGCTTTGAGAAACTAGGGGTCTCAAGCTTCGGAAAACTTGGAATTTCAGGCTTTGAAAAAGTAGGAGCCTCTAACTTTGGGGAACTCGGAGTCTCAGGTTTTGAAAAATTAGGAATCTCGAATTTTGTAAAACTAGGAGTCTCGGGCTTTGAAATTTTTGGGATCTCAGGCTTTGAGAAAGTAGGATTCTCAAGCATCAATAAAGTAGGGGTCTCGGGCTTTTGGGAAGTAGGAGTAACAAGATCTGACGATGTAGAAGTTTCAGGCATTGAAAAACTAGGGGTCTCAGGCTTTGAGGAGGTAGGATTTTCAGATTTTGATGAACCAGGGGCCTTGCGCTCAAGCTTTGGAGAACTAGGGGTATCGGGTTTTGAAAAACTAAGAGTCTCGGGCTTTGAGAAACTAGGAGTCTCAGGTTTTGAAAAACTAGGGGTCTCGGGCTTTAAAAAAGTAGGGGTTTCAGGTTTTGAAAAACTAGGGGTTTCTGATTTTGAAAAACTAAGTGTCTCAGGCTTTGAGAAACTAGGAGTTTCTGGCTTTGAGAAACTAGAAGCCTCAAATTTTGAGAAACTAGGGGTTTCAGATTTTGAGAAACTAGGTATCTCAGGCTTTGAAAAACTAGGAGTTTCTGACTTTGAGAAACTAGGAGCCTCATGTTTAGAGAAACTAGGAGTCTCGGACTTTGAAAAAGTAGGGGTCTCTGGTTTTGAGAAAGTAGGGGTTTCAAGTTTTGAAAAACTAGGTGTCTCAGGTTTTGAGAAACTGGTAGCTTCGGGCTTTGAGAAACTAGGTGTTTCAGATTTTGAGTAACTAGGTGTTTTAGGTTTTGAAAAGCTAGAGATGTCAGGCTTTGCAAGACTAGTGGTCTCAGGCTTTTGAAAGACTAGGTGAATTGGAAAAACTTGGGGTAGTTGGCATTGAGAAACTAGGGGTCTCGGCTTTCGAAAAACTAGAAATTTCGGACTTTGAGAAACTAGGTGTCTCAGGCTTTGAAAAACTAGGAGTTTCGGGCTTTGAGAAAGTAGGTGTTTGAGGTTTTGAGAAACTAGGGTTCTGAGGCTTTGAGAAGCTAGGTGTCTCAGGCTTTGAGAAACTATGAGTCTGGGGATTTGAGAAACTAGGGTTCTCAGGCTTTGGAAGACTCGGAGAATTGGAGTAACTTGGGGTAGCAGACATTGAGAAACTGGGGGTAGTGGGCGTCGTGAAACTTGAGACAGTGGACGTTGAAAAACTAGGAGTAGCGGGTGCTGAAAAACTAGGGGTCTGAAGAAGGCGACGTGCTGTTATAGTAGTTATCATGCCGTCATGCATAAAGTAGATAAAAACAAACAATAAGATGGAGGACAAGTTGTAATGCGTAGCCATTTTTCTGCTGATGCAAGAAACTTAGAGAAAAATGTGATAAGAGAATATAAATTTTTGATATTTTAATTGTTTTCCGTTTAGCTATATATAGATTTTTAAAGGCATGTAAAAGGGAGGATTTCATAGGTTAGTTGCCCTATTTATCTGCCAAGATTATAGTATCTAGAATTTGTATTATGATAGCAATATTATAGTATCTTGAATATTGCTAGAATAAAGGAATGCTCAGATTTTCTAGCTTAAATGAGATTATTAAGGAAGCAAACAATTGTTAAACTATTTACTAATTACCTTCAAATTATCAATCACGATGTCTTTTAATTATGTCCTTTCTTTATTTTTAGCCTTTCTCTTAGGATAAAATTAAAATAAAAGTGGGTATAAGAGAGACACATCATATCTTAATCAAACATAAGTGAACTTAACATGCATATCACTCTATCACGATAAGAATGAAAACATTGATTTCTTCTTGTAATAACTAAAATTTTCACTAAATATCTTTAAAAACAAATATATAAACTTGCTTAGTCTTTTATTTTATAAGGCATCGTTTAATTAAATACCACGTCTGGATTTTAACTTGATTAAGTATTTATACTATTACTAAAATTATTAAAATAATTATTGATAATATAATTTGATGGAAAAAACATTACATTATATGAATATCCTTAAAAGTTATAATCAACTATCAACAAAGTTATACTCCATATTTTAGTAAAATATTATAACATTTGGGAGCATTAGGATGTCCCAGTTAAAAAATAAAATAAAAAATTGACTATAACTAGAAATAAAATTAGACTTTTTATTAATAATGTAGAGATTAATTATAAGATAATTTATGTACTTATACTTTAAAACTTAAAAAGGACTATATTTCGCGCTTAAACTAGAAAACAAGTTGAATTTTCTCATTCGATTTAGGGTTCATTTTCATGGCGGAAGCAAATAATTTCACTCTATCTTCTTCATTCCTCAAACAAGTACTTTTTTTTTTGTTGATAAGTTGATGTTCTCCTTGAATACATTCAATTTTATACTCCGTAGAAATTCATGGATTTTTTTTTTTTATAAATTTTGCAGGTTTACTTGTATGATTGGTGGTTGATTAAAGTTGAAACTGGTGATGGAAGCAAGCGATTGGGTGTTGGAGGTTTCACTGCAAAAGAGTAAAATTTTTTCCCTTAACTTAAGAATGTTGCTGATTTTTTTTTTATTTCTGTTTTGGGTAAGTTTGTTAAGTAGGGAGTATAAGATTTTGAGGTAGTGGTTTAGAAAAATTCAGGGAGTTCAGTTGACTATACGTATTCTTGAATGAAAGCTGCAATTTTTATTAGTAAGTTTGTTAGTTAGTAGGGAATATAAGATTCTTGAGGTATTAGTTCGTCTAATTCAGGGAGTCGAGTCTTGAATGGAAGTTGAAATCAGAGAAGCTGTCCTCTATGTTGTTCAGACTCTCCAAAAATATACTACTTTTGGAGGATTTGACCCACATCCATCAATTAAAAAAGAATTCAAGCAACATAGGTTCCTCTGTGTTGTTCGGACTCTCCAGAAATGTTGTTGAACTTGTGTTAGATCCTCCAAAAATGTACTGCCTTTGGTTGATTCGACACATACCCATCTATATTTTCAAAGAGTCTGAGCAACTTAGGATGTCCTTTGTTTATGATAATGGTGTCCGTGCGAGCTTGTGTGTCGATTGTTCCAACAGGTACCTGCTACCGTCCATTTGTTAACTCTGCCAGCCAAGGCTTAGGCATGTAGAAAGAAATCATATAGATTTTATTTTGTTTTTTGTTTTTTTGTTTCTGGTGGGATATGAACCTACGAACTCATGGTTCTCCTTCCACTTCATTGACCACTAGCCCACATCTTTTTGTTCTTGTTAATTTTCAAGTTAACTTCATGTTATTATCATGTTTGAAGCAACTTTCTTTTAGTTTGTTACTATTTTGCATCTTCTTGATGCCTTTCTAATGCAATTTAATTACTTCACCAAAAAAGAGTACATCAACATACTAGTGTAATCCCACAAGTAGGGTCTAGGAAGGGTAGGATGTTGCAGACCTTAACCCTACCTTTATGGGATATAGAAGTTGTTTCCAATAGACCTTTGGCTCAAAATAAAAGTACTCGACGTGGGAATTTAAGAAAATAACACAGTTTAATAGCAATACAAGAAAGAGTACAAACTAAAAGAATTCCTTCCATCATTAAAGCATCCGTTAGTCCTCCTATCATTAAAGCATCTGATAATGTTAAGACACTTAAATAGAAATACAACATGAAATATGTTTTCCCTCCTATCACGAAGCATCTGTTGTTCCTCTCCTTCCAAACATTCCAGAAAATGCAAGTAGGGTCTGCTTTCCAATATAATCTGTTCTTAGTATAATACTGGTCATCCCAGCTACTTAGAGCAAGTTTTATCAACCTGGCATAACCATTTTACTTGAAAAATCGCTGGAAACATGTCGAGTTGCCTGGTGAAAGTTCAGTGGAACATTAAGTGATTTACTGGTTCATTAGCTTTTTCACATAGAACACATCTGCTTCATATAGTGAGACCTCTTTTCTGCAGATTGTCAAGTGTTAAACAAGCCTCATGAGTTCCAGTCCAAGTGAAACAATCAGCTCTAAGGGGTGTGATGGTCTTTCAGATTGTTGTCCACGGCCAACGGCCACAGTTTCTTCTTGTCGACAAAAGATTGTTATAGCATGTCTTTGCCTTAAACCTTCTATGCTTCCAATTTCTACAGCACTTATTTTGTGGATATGTTGGATTTTTGAAGCACCTTATTCATTTCTATATAGCGCTGTTAATCTCGCAAGAGGTTAATACATGCTTTTTTTTAGTTAAAATTTAATCAAGACACAGATGATTTGTGGATTTCAGAATTTTGGACTGATTGTCTCTCAAGTTGCCAAACAACTTGTGCTAATCTTTTCCATGTTTTATTGCATTGATCAAGTAAGAAACACAGTTCTAGTAATGTTCTTTTTGTTGGATTGTTTTCCAAGTTGCATACAGAATTGTTATTTGGAAGGTGTGGAATTTTGTTAATGATCCAATTTCCAGAACATAATAAGCACAGCGCAGTTAAAAGGCCTTCCTTTGGGTTCTTTTCCATGAGATGTCAGATAAAAAGTTTATTTATCTTTGCCTCTGGATATCCCTATTGGACTGCTCATATGCAAGCATTTTAATTCATTACTTTGTCTTAGTTTAAAAGTGCTTTAGTGGAACTAGAGTACTGTATTATATATTTCGTGTGACAAGGCAGTTCTTGGAATCAAGTGATGTGATATTTTGTTGCCCTTCCTTAAATAGGAGACCAGATGGAAGAGTTTTCCACTCCACAACAATTGCGAAGAGGCATGATACTACCACTTTAGTGACGGAGGATGGTATCACCATTCTTCTTAGCGGTTTCATTAACAGGTGCCGAACTCTTCAAAATGGCTTCTCATCAGAGGTATTTAAGTTATTTTAGTTCTCAACTCATATGACTGCTTTATTTCAGCTGTTTTGATGGAACATATAATTGAGGTTTACGTTAGCTGAGAAGTTTTAGAGGTTCTATTTGGTCCCATCTGTAGCATTAACTGTCGGAATCATAGTACTATCTATAGTTTGTCAATCTTGGTGGAAGACAATGTATGACTTGCACACACATCTTGTAAAACTTTTAACATTATTTGGTGTTTATAATGAAACTTTTTGACTTAAAAGTTCATATTACTATCCAATGTGTCCTGTCTAGTTAATTATTTTTTTGCTTACCTCTTTCGAGTAATCTCCGCTCAATAATTTACTTCTGGCAGTCTTTCTTCAGCTATCACTCATCTTTTACAGATAAACCTCAGTCTTTTTCTGCTTTTGCGGTTTTAACTAACTCCTTGAGGAACCTAAAGAGGAAGGCCTGCTAAAGCATTAAATGGATTCTCCAAAGTGAGCATTCACATGTTAGTTACAAATTAGAATAAAATCATGTTTTGTGAAGATGAAATAATAAACAATCTCTACCTCCAAGGTAGGGGTAAGGTCTATGTACACTCTACCTTCGTCCCTCCCTAGACTCCACTTTGTTGTTGATGAAGATAACAAACAGAAATTTCAAACTAACAGGTTTGCAAGCAGTTCCTTCTTGGATTTCCATACAACTGGGAAGAGTCTGCTGCTGTGTCATTTGGAGAATCAACCAATGAAAATGCAGCCTCTAGAATTTCTGATTTCTCAGAGTCAGCAAATGCATCAGCTGATTGCACAAGTAGTTCCTTTACACTGTCCGTTGATCATCTTTCCCCCAATGTTTTACGAGATCTCTTAATATCGGCTGCTGGTGACCCAGAAGGCGGCATGCTAAGAAAGAGTATTTTTAATGAAATAGTGCAGAAATATGGTAACAATGCTTTTAATGTCGATGAAGCTTCTTCTTTGAACCAAAAAAGTGGTAATCAGGTCACCCCTCAAAGTCCTTCACTGAATGGAAGTCCTAGTCAAAAGAAGAAAGCTAAAACAAACCGGAAACAAGAGGATAGCTGTATAGCAGATGCAAAATCTGGTAAAGAAAAATTGCCAGAAGCTACTCCAAAAGATATGCCAGAAAAGAGAGTTTTGGATAGACTTCTGCATAGAAGTGGTGACGATGTTCCTATCGTTGGTGAAAATTCTTGTTTAAACCAAAAAAGTGGAAATCAAGTCTCAAGCAGGGGTCCTTCACTGGATGAAACTCCTTATAAAAAGAAGAAAACTAGAGCTAATTTGAGGAAAGAAGATGATAAGCATGTGCCCAATGCACAATGTAGAAAAGAAGTGCTTCCGAAATGTAATGATGAGAGTGGAACAGATATTGATAAGAATAGCTCAAGTAGTAGCGCTTTAACAAGAGATAAAGCTAGCTTATATAAGAAAACCAAAATTTACCTTACACAAGAAGAAAAGAGAGATGTGCACAAAGTATCTGGACAAGGAGATTTTGGGATAGTAAACATCACTAACTCGAGTAATGGTCCATTGACAAGAAGCAGAGCTAAAATGAAACGGGTAAAAGAACAAGGTCAAGAAGGACATAGATATCTGTGAAGGTGTTATGGGAGTTCTGTTGTGCAGATTAGCTACCCGTGGATATTAATCTGGAAATTCCTCAAATCATAACTTTTATGGATTTGTCACTTTGTTATTGTAGTTCACAGGGGAGGTAAATTTCGAAGGTTATGTTTTTCTTGTTTTTGTTATGGATTACATCACATCTCCTGAATTTAGCGTTTAATTAAGTGGATAGGGATTTTCTGACAACAAAAAAGCTTTTCTCCCCAACCGAGGTGAGTATCAAATGGTTCATGCCTGGGAGTAAACATGATCTTTATCGATGTTGAGGCAAGTATGGACAAGACAAAGAATAGCTGGTGGAATACTGTGCCTTGTTCCTGGTGTGTGGTTTGGTGAGAAAGGAACTCCATGTGTTCTGAAGAGAAGGATTACAGACGATTAAGTTAGATTGTCTTTTGTTGTTTCATTTTTGGTGTAAACTGAAATCTGCTAATGAGACAGAAACTCTATTAGAGTTCATATAGTCCCTTTTAAGTTCAGGAGAGGTCTTACTTTTTATTTCTTTTTCTGCTCACATGTACAAAATTCATAGCACTCCATTTGTGTTATTTTGTGAATAGAATTACAATAATCACCTTTTGAAAAAAAAGCAATTCAGTTTTTCCTTTTTGTGTTCCTCATAAGTACATCATGGTCGTGCTAAGACCGAGTGATGTGGAGAAGATTCGTCAGTTTCTTTATGTGACAAGGTACTTCAACATAGCTGATGCTGTATTTTGGACTTTGTCAAAGTTATTGCAATTATGTTTGTGTATCCAGCACAGATTTTTCTCAATTTCTTTCAGCATCATTTCATCCAATTTTTTTGTCAACCTTTTCTCTCTTTTGCTGCAGATAAGTTGACAAGGTAGACAGCACTAAAACAGAGGTAAATCAAGTTGGTAAGTCCTACATGAAGTTAAATTTTGGCGTAAGAGAGGCTACATGTATGTATTATAACAAGAAATATATGTACACGGCCAAGTTGGCCTTGTTAGTGTTGATGAAATTATTTACTTGATCAAATAAAGAAAACATGAACTATAATAAAATTGAGACCAAAAGTATAGTTGCAAAGCATATTGTATTAGACAATTTATATGTATGTTTTCAGTTGTCAAAATAGCATCTTACAGTATTGACTTCCATCAATATTGCAGCTTACAATATTATTGACAAAAATTTTGTTGACCAAATCTATGATATTCTGACCCACCATATTTGGAACAGACACAATTAACAGGTCAAAAAGACTCAAAACTACATGGAAAGGACAAGAAAGTATGCTAAATGTCAAAGCCATCTTGAAGAAGCAAAAGTTTCAAAGTCTCCTCTACAAATCTATATACTTGGTATATTCTTCTTTCTCATTTCTTCTTCAACCATCTGCATTTATATTAATTTTGTTCAAGTTTTCTTATACATCAAAGCATTGTGAATAAAGACATAATCCATGGGTAAATACACGGAGATAGTGGATGTAGGTGTGAGAATAGTAGCTAGGTTTCATTCTCATTGCCCTCAGACTGCTCGAATGTATTACCATCCACCCTCCAACATTCATGGCAATGCTTCAGATTTTCCTCGTCGTTGTAAAAAAGAGAAACTTGGGTTTATTGCTCATAATCAAGAATCGAACTCTATGGAGAGTTATGGTGTCGAGGCTTCCATGCATGTTGACACTGCAGATTTTATCGTTCACACATTGGACTAAGTCTATGTATGTACGGAACTATGAATACTCATTTTTGTGAAGATTGAAAGTGAGAATATAATGGACTGCGGTGTCAAGTTTGTGTTTATACGTGATATCAGCGTATATAAGTTAAATTCTTATTTTATTGTGTGATTATTGTATATATTGTTTATGATATGCTGGGTTGATTGGTTTGAAGGAATAGAAAAGAAAGAAAAAGAGAGATTAAATGAGTGATTTAAGTAAAAGTTATGTGAAGTCTGGGATGTGATTGTTTGTTGATCAAGTTTGTGTATATGGGGGTTTGTATGAATTGAAAGTATTTTAATACTTTATTTGATTGAAGATGTTTTAGTTCCAAGAAAAAAATTAGTAATTACTTATTGAATACGATTGATCGATTCCGTGGACCCAAAGAAGAATCTTAGCTTTTCGTGTGTATTTGTTCATAAATTTTTCGGTATCTGATTAATCGATTTTGTTTGAAACCAAATTTGTTGTGCCATTCAAACTGACCTATTGAACTAGACTATTTGCTTACAAAATCGAAACGAAACTTGAAAAAAAAATTTGACTAGTGGTTTGGTTTGATATTTAAAAAAAAATTCGACTATATTTAGGCTGGTTTGGTTTTAACTAAAAAAATCAATCCGAGACCAAACCAACCGGAAATTATATATGTATTTCTAAAATTTTATTTTATGCATAAAAATATTTACTTTGATATCATTTTAAAATATTTTCTTATATTATTTCATAGTTATTATCTCTTAGTATATTTTTTCAAGTTCAAAACTTGGTATTCGGCATGATTCAATAAAGATTATAGTTCATAGATAATTAATTATAATAAAACTTAAATCAAAATCAAATTGATACAAATGCAAAAGAAAATCAATTCAATACTAGAAATGACAATAATATTGAATATTTGTTCTTTAGTTTTACATTGGTTCAGACAAATAAAATACATAATCTAGTTTTAATTTTCCGTAAATATTTAATAATGTAACTAATACTAATGAAATTTATTTTAGCATGATTTAGTACTTCTAAATTATGATTATTTTCATTATGACGTTACGTTATTTATTTAATATGATGATTTCATTTTATTTTTATTGAATATTTGTGTCATCAATACTCATCTTATATTTGTGTTACTTTTTTTAAGAAACAGCTTAGATAATTGATTTTGGTTGGACTAAAGAAATATTTGGAGCACAAGTTAATTAAAATTGAAATGAACCTGATTTTGATATCATGTTTAAAAAATAAACCTTGTGTCTGACGTAATCCTGAAAGCAATTTTAATGAACAACGATTGTCCAAGACGATCTAAAGAAACCAATTTCCTATCCCCAAAATGATTCAGAAACTCAACGATGTTCCTGGATTGACACATACATGAAACCTTCACCTTCAGATTAGGCTTTATATTATATTACTAAACCCACAAGAATTTGAAAAAAGCAAAGACAGAATGATACTCTAATGATCCAAATATCTCCAATCTGCTATAATAAGAAGGGTTCCTTTCATTTCCCTTTTAACAACGGAAAAAATCACCTAGTGTTTTTACTTTGTCGGGGATTTGAACCCCGGTCTCTGAAGCAAAACAGCTTGTTTAATTTCCTTTTTAACAGTTTATATTTGCACTGTACAATGAGTAACAGCTATGTCTATAGTGAACAAGTCACTTCAGAATACAGTGTTCAACTAAATATCTCCATCTCTTGGGTTTTTTTTTCCTGTACTGTAAACTTCATTGATGATCAATATCATGAGCTTTCAAATGGACCAAGTCTCCCTTCAATGAATGGTGAAGAGGGCGAGATCTCCTGAAACAGAATATATCTTCAATCTGGACGACATTTGGTTCAGCTGGATCGACTTTCTCTGACTTAAATTCAGAAAAATGTGAGCTTCCAAAGACTTGTAAGCTTAATGACTTCCGTTTAGGAGCGCCAACGTTCACATATTCATTAAAGAAATCGATCAGGTCCGTTTTAGTTATCTGCTTCAGTGCTGCAACCTGATTCATGAAAATATAAGTCAGTTTAAATGCTTGTTTCAGAGAGAAAGTACGTCCATGAGGCAATTATCCTACCTTGTGAACTCTCAACAACATATCCAGTACCCAGTGGAATCTCACTACTGTGGTCTAGGGAGGATAGAGTGTACATTGACCTTACCCCTACCTCGTAGAGATAGAGAGGTTGTTTCCTATAGACCCTCAGCTTAAATAAAGCCTGCCAAATAGTACCTTATGAACTCCCAGAAACTAAAAAAAGGAAGATTATTAACTTTCAGGGAACAGTGAGCCATAGTACCTTTTACTGGTTTATTCAGCATTTCAGAAAGCAAGAATATTTTTCTACAATAGAGGTATTCGTGCCTACTTTCGTGCACTTTGACTATCCACCAACACCTTCCCCTACCAAGGCTTAGGTCGATGGGAAGAAATCAAGAATTATATTCCTCAATGAGTCAACATTTCGTAAGAAAGACTTGGAAGAGTTCTTTCTTTGTATCCCTTTAGTTTGACCCAAAGGTGCCAAACAGCTACCACCCATGCCAATTATCCTCCGCCTCCCGGAAAGGGAGAAGGAAAGACATACAGTAATCTCCTTTTACCTGTCAATTCAATTCATGGAAATAAAAAATGGCATATGAATAAAAGAAAACCATACCTCATTTTCAATTCTATCAAATTTGAGGGTGCCACTAGAAATTTCCCACCAGAAAAAATTGGTTTCCTCCGGTAAGTTTTTAAACTTCTCAAGCTTAATATCAATAAGAGCATTGACTTTTTTCTGCATTGTATATGATAAAATCAAAATCTTAGAGGATGAGGCAAAATATATAAGATTGCAGACAAGTGGAAATAATAAATAAGCTTCACATCAACCTAACAATTTATTCAGCACCATCATTTGATTTTGACTTTATTGGTTTGTTACTGACCGGGTTTATTGTTATTATTCTTATTTTTTATTTTTTTTTGATGACCAAGAAGTCGGTCTGTGACCTGCCCTTTGGACCAGTGATGCTAATAGAAGAAAGGCATTGAAAGAACATAACATATGAAGCCACATGGACTTATCAATTTTCTGAGTACCAGAAGATCAGGATAGCAGATACATCACATTCTATCCTCAGCAAAAGCAGCAAATGATTGTTAAGTACAAGAACAGTCGGCCAAATAAATTTCTCTTGCAGGGTTACTGAGCGCATCTGATGAAGATGTAATGACAATATCAAACAGTATTCAAACTAAGCACACCTCTAATTTTTACTGATTGAAGTGTCACAATTTATGCTGCCTTGTAAAAACCGCGTTCCTCATGATAGCAAATATTTTTCATATTGACTTTGCCTACCCTCTCAAACTTTTTACCATTATTCTGGGTATTTATGATCTTCATCTTAAGATATTTCCGTGTAGATACTTCTGGTAATATTACTTTCCTGAGAGTTGTCACAATGATGCCATTGTGTTATTGTTGTTCTTCTGGTATAGTTCTTTTTATAATAGCAGTGGCCAATTCAGCTTGTCTGCAACTAGACTAGTACTGGGAATTTTTAATCAAACTAAGTCATTATATAAAACAATTTACCAAAGTAATATATTTTTCTAAAATTTTACAAAACTAGTATAAACGTATTTCACGGTAACGTTTTAGGGTATATTTTATTTTTTAAAAACTAACAGCATTAGGTTGATATACGTTACTATAAGTAACATTTTACTTTTAAAACGTTATTTTCTGTAACGTTTT